GCCATATATGAAAGCTCCAATGTTCTGCACGGCTATCCTACTTCTTCCACACGTTATCTCATCGATTTTTTGCTTCTTCGACCCATTCGAAGCTTTCCTAGTTACTCCCTATTCGGCTTGCACATACACACACATACATATATATGCTTGTCTTCTGGCACTCTAACCTCTCATTTTATCTCCTACTCTCCAGTATCATGTTCTGCTTTCCTATTTTTTTGTCTTTTCTCTCTCTCCCATTGTCAGTTTTTCCATTTTATTCTCTTCTACTCTTTTTCTGTTTCTCATCGTCATCATTGTGCTTGTGGTAGAAGCCGTTGTCGTTGACGATGCCGTCGATTGCATTGCCTGGCCGAAAGCTTAGCTCCCATTCACATCAATCCCAGCAATTTTGCTCTTTTTGTCATTCAACTTCATTCAATAATCATCATGCTTCATTCATTTTATAACAATACAAGTTGAGTTGAGTATTCCATAGCTACCAGGTTGTCGAATCGATGATTTACCTACCTAGCATGTGGACGCTCCAAATTGGATATTCTATGCTATCGTTCCAATGCCAGTAAAAGCCTTTTCCATTATTCGTTCAGAAAAAAAGTAAAAAATTCATTGTTGCACTCTAATCCCAACGATGTTTTCTTAGACCGACCGACCAAATTAATCGTCTTTTGAACTTTGCATTTTCTTCTTCCATTTCTATTTTCAATACATTTGCTAACTACTGTCCATGTAAAACACTTTAATAATAAATTTTAATTGATATAACTGGGGGGTTGCTGTTAGCCGAAGTGGGCGAAAAGAAAGGAAAATGAAAAAAAAGGTGCAAAAAGGCTTCAAATACAATATAAACACGGCCCATCGCACAACCTTGTTTCATATTCTTTCCGTCGATTGCTTTTTTCCCAGTTGCTTTCAGTATCTTCTCTTCCTTTTCTATTTTTTCTCATGTTCCCAGTTTTTGGGCCATATTCCATCTTTGCTCCGAAGACTGGTAATTTTGAGGGCGAGAATCTGACACCTCTCCCATGGGGAAGAGAAAATGACTGGCTGAACAAAAATCTGGAATAAGTTTCTTATAATCGTGTTTACGTCATTTGTCCCATATGCAAAATGCCATTATGATTCCTACCTTCATCATTCTTTTACTAAATCCTATTGAGCTTCTTGATCTCGAGAGATCCCAACTAAGCTCTTTTCTTCGCAATTTTTTGTACTTCACTAGTGCACCGAAGCATTCTAGAAGGCAAGAAAGCGAACAAAGGAAAATGCTTTTTTCTTTTTTTTTTCTTCTTCCTTTATTCTCTTTATTCTAATACATTTTATTTGTTATTTAGTTACCAAAAAAAAAAATTCAAATATATGTATGACTTGACGATCTTCTACATCAAATGAGCGAAGTTATTTTAACCCACGTGACTTCAAAACCTAATTAGAATAAGACGTGGTAGTGACGTGAGACGTGGAAATTAATGAGAAAAAAAGAAAAAGAAAAATGCAAATTTTTGAGTCATTCCAATAGTTGTTCAGACGTAGAGTGGTTGTCAATATGGAAAGAGTAGAAAAGAAAAAAAAAGAAAAAAAACTAAAAGAAATAATATTGACTAATCAATGGATCTACTCGCATACATATTTCATTTCTCTTTCATATTGTTTCTTTTTTCGGCCAATTTTAGTCACCTCATTTAACAGAACCACCTCTTACTTAGTCTTTTGGAAAAAACAAAAGAAAAAGAAGAGAAAAGAGAGGCAAAATGAAAGAAAAAGAGAAAAAGAAATATTATTTTATGTTAAAATAAGCATAATTGAGATACATAAAGACGAAAGAAACTCAACAATATTATCATTTTGACGAAAAAAGCTGCTAATGAGCAGATCATGCTTCTTCCTTTCACATTCTTACATTTCAAACTTCATAAGCTTCGTCAATTTGCAACCTTTTCAATTACTTCATATTGTTATGAACATTTCGTTTTTGTTTTATCATCTCCTTACATACATTCTCTCTCTCTCTCTCTCTCTCTCTCTCTCTCTCTCTCTCTCTCTCTTTCCCTTCTACCCTTTTCTCCCATTGATTTTCATTATTTCAGCTTCTATCTTGTCATTCTCATAGTTATTTTTTTACAGAGAAAAGTGATGTCTGATTCATTCCGTTATCTTCACTTAATCTCTTATTTTGCATCATTTTTGTTGTGTTATATTGAAAATTTGCACGTAACTTATACTATTTAAGCTTAACTAAATCATTGGCTATTAGGAAGATAATGAGGAAAAAGAATTTTTGAGAAAGTTAACTTCATGATTCGTTTTGTAAAAGACACGTTCTAAGTTTTAAAAATGAAAGAAAACGACAATTACTTGAAACGAGAACAATTTATTAAAATGGAACGTTTAGCTAATAACATTAGTGAGTTTCCGTCAGAATAGGATAAGCTTTTAAAAGTATTTTTCTAATCACATCACATGGCTTTCACTCTTATTGCAAACGACTAAAAAATGCTTCGTCTTCTCCATTTTGTGTTTCATCTGCTTTGTGTCAGCGATGAGATAAACATACAAATAGTTATAGTTAATGAATGAAATAACTATTCACACGTTCTCTTATAATAAGCTACAGTTCCTTGAATGGAATTACTCATCTTCCTTGTGTCTAATGGCAGATTTCCTTATTTTAAAACAGGATCATTACCTCATGAATCAATCTGTCATCTTCTAATGCCCATGTATGTCTATGAGCTTAACGACATTCAATTCGCATACGAAATGCCCAATCTGCTATAGAATTCTAAATTTGCCTTTATTTGGAAACTTTAAAAGCAGTTGAGCTATGTACAAGCTAGATCAAAACAAAAAACGTCGAAGAGAGCTATGCTTGAATGCTTCTCATGCTTCCAAACATACAGACAGCTCTTTATATGGAAAGTGTGCTGTTTAAGAATGAGCATCAAATACAACAAACTACTCAAAGCTTCACCATCCAGAATCCTTTCGAACACTTCTGGAGTATTGTTGTAGTACGTCGGCTGAAACGATTTTCATCTCTTGCTCATCGATTTGGGGCTCAAACCTCATTTTCAGCTTCAGTCAACTAGCTCACTCTTCCCTCGCTTCAGCTTCCCTTGCATGCCTCCAATACTTCGTCTTCCTTCATCGTCGTTTGGTCTTGAATAAGCTAAAAGAGACTACTCCGGCAGTAAGAAGCAGAGAGACTGAGCTAGTATGTACTCTGGGCTTGCTTTTCCCCTCATCTACTTTTCTTTCTACTATCCTATCTCTTCAACTTTCTCTTCTATTTCTCGCGTTTTTCCTCTCTCACACATTTCTCCAGTTCTGAATTCGATGCTGTGTCTTCGTCTCCTTCCTTCCTTATATGTATTGAGACTCTTCTTCTAGAACCTCTGCTTGCCACTTCTCCTGGCTTTTTCTTCTCCCTCTGGCCCTCACCAACCTCGCCCCTTGAGTCTCTATTCGTTTTTCCGATAATCCACGATTTTATGTTGTTTCCTCTGTTAGCTGCTTAGGCTTGGCACAGCATTATCTATTCTTCTTTTAACTTTCAATCCTTTTAGCTCCACCTTCATATGGAAAATAAGATTTGCTTTTTCTTTTTTTTATATTTGTACGTCAAACTGCTTTTTCAAGTTATTCTGAATTTCAAATTTCCTCTTCATTCTTCGTACCCACACACACCCATACATATACACAATAATGAATCGTTTGAGATAGAGCAAAAAAGCTAAGATGTGAGCCATTTTCAAACTAAGATATCCATAAACAAACAGTCTTCACAGACTACGGCAATCAATGGTAATCTTCTTTCCTGGAGATTCTGCCAAATGTTGTTGAACAAAGCACATCCACCAATGGACAACAGCAGCGTCCATTCATCTTCAATCACACGGCCTTTCTCTTGTCTTCCAAAATTTTTTTCTATAAAACTCGCTTTAGTTTTGTTCTTCTACACATAATTCTTCCAAATTAATAGCAAATACCTCACTTCATAGAATAAAATTTGGTCGCTCAACATCTACATGCATAGAGTGCCAAGCTCAGTTTTCAGATATTTTCGTTCTGTGTCGCTCATACGATTTCTTTTTATTTTTTTATTATTATTGAATACAAGCAGTTTCTTTAAATTGTCAAATTTTAATTTTGCTTTCTACTATTTAACGTCTTTGTATTGCTCATTTTATTATTTAAACCAGTGGAAAGCCATTGTCCCATTTTTGTCCTTTCACTGCTTTCCTTCTCATCCATCAGATATCATGAACAATTTATTTTCCAAACCTTTTCTAGCACCATTTCCAGCGTTGAAAACATTACTTTTCTTAATCAGTTCCTCCATAAATCAAAACTTCCACCCATTTTATTTTAATTTATTCAGCCACAGTCTGGTTATCCATCCCAGCACAACTTTTTATATTTTTCATCCAGAAAAGAGCTTGAACCAACTGTTGTCTTCCATGTTTCTCAACTGTTCTTTAATTTTTTGTTTGAATTGAAGAACAGAAATAGAATTTTGTTGATTAACTGCAACGTGTTCAAGACACTTCTGAAACAAAAATAATCCAGAACACGTCAGCTAACAATACTCGACCGTCATACTAATTCAATTCTATGATTCTGCTTCTAGTCATTAACTGTTTCACGATGTGTTCCTTTAGATAGACGTTTACACTTTGATGGAAAACTATTAAAAACAATGACAACGAATGTTTTCGATGGTTGTCATAACGACGAACAATCTCAAACTGCCGTTTTTCCCCACTTTTGTCTATCATTTTCTTTTTTCTTCTCAATCTTCACTTAATCATTGATTCAACCTGATTTAATTTTAAATTCGCAGTTTGTTTTTTTGGTTTTGGATTTACTTTCTCAATGTTTCGAAAAAACTGTTCAAAGCTCTTGAAAAGTGTCTTACACAACTTTGACAGAGCTTCTCATATGCATTCATACTCAATTTCGTTCCAGAGCTTTTTGGTGGTTTCAAATCAGCCTGTAAAATGGTTTTTCTTGATGAAGATGAGTCGTTGGAAGCCACAGATATGGATAAAAGTCAAAATGATATGACCCGAGAGTTTGTTCCGCAAGATGCTCCCATGCAAACAACTACTATGGAAACCATGTAAGCTTTAACCCGGATTTCATGCCAAAACAGACTGCTTTATTATTATTTTTATCCGAGATGTAAGCAAACAAAAAATCAACCTCAATCCAAATGAAAAGGAAGTGAGGAAAGAGAAGGTTGAGGTTTGAATCGAAAAAAAAACAACCGCTCACTGCTCATAGACGCTTGTGAACAAAATTCAATTTGGCATCAGAGTTCACGTGATTAGAAAGCAAGAAGGATAATTCCAGATTTTTTTTGTTTTCATCAATTCGTGAGAGCTGAAGGAAAATAATTTTTCGAAACAATGCATTCATGAATTTCTCTTAATATTAATATGAAATGTAAGGGTGAGAGAAGGTTAAATCAGATTGAGCCAGTATTACCTCTGTCATTATGAGATAACGCTAAATGAAACTTCTTAATTTGCAGAAGGTCAACTCAAGAATCTGTAAAGGATGTTCTTATGGATAAAGTGTTGAATGTTAAAGATGCTGTGAAGAACAAAGTCATGAAAGAGACCGGAAGTAAGTTTATTTTGTTTAGATCTCTCTAAGCTTGAAATTAAAATCCTTGTCAAGATCATTCACATCTAAATCAGACCGAATTGCTAAGAATGTTGACACAAATTGTTTTCCGTATTGTTCAAAATGAAAAGTCGTCATTTATGATGTTTTTCATGGGAAAAGGGTTGAAGGTTGAAATGACCATTTAAGGGTTCTTTTTTCTGTTAATCTTGGAATGCACATTCTTCTTCTCTCAAACATTACGTCATCAGTACCAATGATCGTTTTTTCCGGGATCATTCACCATCATTTATCACTATATTTAGAGTTATCAAGCTTCAATTTAAAATGGTCTCCCCCATTATATAGTGGCCACATCCAATTGTTCCTAGAGGTTATCGTCATGACGCTCCTCTCTAGTCTTATACATATTTAAGATGAAGAATCATTGGTCTTTTTTCACAATAAGGAATTCTTTTTCATCTTTTCCATATTTTCCGTCTTCTTTTCTTAAAACTATTCTATCTCCTGCATTGCCATTCCCATCATGGCCTGCTCTAGCAAGGCTGTCGGAAACTCGAGAAGCTAGCTAGAGTCCACAACCATTGCCGTAAAATATTGATGACCATATTTGGTGAGGCCATTTTGTGTGAGTGAATAAATATGTAGCAATGCATTTCGTTAAAAACTCAAAGAGAAACCTCAGTTTTGAATGTTCGTGTAGAGGGTAGTTGGAAGTAGCTGACAATCGATTCAGTAGTTTGCATTTTATTGAGAGTTGGGAGGTCAGATGCATCCAAATGATAACCCGAAATGGGGAAATGAAGAAAAAAGTTTTGAAATAGAAATTTCTACAATTATCAGAAAGATTGATACAGAAGAGAGTTTACAAATGGGCAAAGTCTAACCAGAAATTTCTTACCTTCTGCCAGGATAAAACGAATGGCTCTATAAGACTTTTCTATTATTTGAATTCGAAAAGATGTGTTTAATTGATCAATTGAACATATAAGGAAAAGCAATAACAGTTTATTTGTGAAGAATCGCAAAAGCAAAACGTAAAAGGAAATAAAGCAAGAGCTTGATGTTGTTTGCCCTCTTTGATAGTATGTGGATAATGGTCAAAAACGAGGAAATAAGTTCAACAAACACATCTTGAGAAATAAAAAATGAGAAGAATACTTTGATTTGTTGTCATAAATGAACACTCATCATTCAACATGGGCTATTTAGCAGTTTGTTTATTTGAATTAAAGTGTGATCGTGATTTTTCTTGGCAAGTAGTTTTTCGCAGGCTTATCTGCCATGATATACATACATAGTTATGCCTGAATCATCGTCTTATCATTTCTATTTATTTTTTTTATCTATTTTTGAATTAATTTGATAAATATCAAATTTTCAGTGCCAGAATGGGCTTTTGTGTTTCTGGGTATCATCGGTTTACTCATCGTTGTTGGATGTGGTTTTATGCTCATTCGAAAATTATTCGGAAAGAAGCGACATGGAGAGAAGAATAAGAAAGGGTTTAAGGTAAGTACAAATTCGTCACTTCAATGTGTCGCCAGATGTATTGAAAGGGATTGTCGGTTTTTTAAATAAAACTCAATTTATAGGGATTATTTGGCAAAGGCGGTGATTTAGTAGCCGGAAAGGACATTGGAGCTGGGGTAAGTACTTTGATTGAAGAACGGAGCATAATTGCTTTTATAAGAAGTCGTCAAATTAGCTATTTTTACTATGAGTGTAAATCGGAAGAATCAAAGAAAAAGAACAAAATGACAGAGCTTCAAACTCCGAATATATCTAATCCGAACTAAGGAGTAGAGAGATGAGATGTAAGAGAATACATACAGAAGCTCTATAGATGTTTTTCATTTAGTTTTAATTACCTTCTGTTGAGAAAAGAACTTTTTGTTCCTCAGAAACAAAAGTTGAAGAAAGAAAGAAAGAAACATTATTTCTAAACTAAGCTGAAACCTAAAACAATTGAGTTTTTTTCCAATTCCTCTTTAGACACTAAAGACAATGTTAGTGAGGGAGGGAACAGAAACTTTATTTCTCTTTCCTTATCAGTTGTCTTTGAACTGAAGAAGAAAGATGTTTTGCATTTTGTTATTGTGAACAAAAAAGGATAAGAAGTTATAAATCAATGACAGATTTGATATATGGAAATTCAGAAAAATTAAAATCTTCTAGATGCAAGCAGACTTGGAAGGATTAGAGGAAAATATGGAGCAAAACGAAAAAGCTCAAGCAGAAGAGAAAGAAGAAGTCAAGCTTGGCAGAATTCAATACAAACTTGATTATGATTTCCAACAGGGACAAGTACGTGAAAGGAGTTTTGTTTTTCACTTCTCCCCCTCTCTTGGGTACAGGATATATTAATTTAATTAATATTATTTCTAGTTAACTGTCACTGTCATCCAAGCAGAAGACTTGCCTGGTATGGATATGAGCGGAACATCAGATCCATACGTCAAGTTGTATCTTCTACCGGAAAAGAAGAAGAAAGTGAGACTTTCAACAACTTGAAGCTTGACATTTTCCTCAATAATACTCTGTTTTTCAGGTTGAGACTAAGGTTCATCGTAAGACACTCAATCCAGTTTTTAACGAAACATTCATTTTCAAGGTAAAAAATATGAAAAACGAACACATAGTCCCTTACATAGAAGATCAATTCTTTTTTCAAACTTTATCTTTCATAATCAAATATTAGTTCTTTGTTATGAATTAATCAAATTTTTGTGACGAGTTTGTTATCTGTCCCTACACCTCTATATGGCTATTCATCATAATCAGCAAAGCTCCTTTTTAAGTCGTAAATGACTTTGAAGATAACAAAATTATTAGAAAAAAAAATATGATTCACTTAAAGGATCTTTTTTTACCTCATTCACAAAGAATACAGTAAATGCAGAGAGTTTTGATCATTGAATTCTTTCTTGCAGGTGGCTTTCAATGAAATTACGGCTAAAACACTCGTGTTTGCAATTTACGATTTCGATAGATTCAGTAAGCACGATCAAATCGGACAGGTATAGCCTCCTCTTGTGAAAAAAGACATGTACTTGCTTTGCAGGTACTGATTCCTCTTGGAAAAATTGATCTGGGACAGGTCATTGAAGAGTGGAAAGATATCGCACCTCCTCCTGATGATAAAGAAGCTGTAAGTGATTAAATATTACAACTTCAAATGCCAAACATCACAACAGCAACATCATCTTCATGTTATAGGAAAAAGCTTTGGGAGACATATGTTTCTCTTTACGTTATGTGCCTACAGCCGGAAAACTAACTGTTGTTATCCTTGAAGCCAAAAATTTGAAGAAAATGGACGTTGGTGGTTTGTCAGGTAAAAGTTGTTACTCAGAATTCAAAAAGAATTAGTGAATAAATCAAAAGCAAGGTTCTACCGAGATTTGAACTCGGGTCGCAGGATTCAAAGTCCTGAGTGCTAACCGCTACACCATAGAACCGACAAGAAAAGCAATTCGGAGATAATACACAAAAACCGTATATTCGGTCTGACCATAAGCGATGTCTTGCTTTTCTTTCACTGTGTAATCACTTGGCAAATATCGCAGACAGAGATTGTTTGGTCACAGTCGGTTCAAATTCGTATTGAAGAAAAGAAGATTCTCACTTTTCCACCGCAAGACAAATAACTGTTTGTGTTTTTCAGATCCCTACGTGAAAATTGTGTTATTACAAGGAGGAAAGCGGTTAAAGAAAAAGAAGACTTCTATTAAGAAATGTACTCTCAATCCATATTACAATGAGTCGTTCTCATTCGAAGTACCTTTCGAGCAGATTCAGGTTAGTAGTGAAGCTTCTGATTGTAAACAATATTTCGAGAAAAAGTTTCGAATTGAAGGAAAAAATAATGAGATACGAGCAGAAAGAGCATCCTAAAAAAAATTTTCAGAAAGTATCTTTGATGATAACAGTTATGGACTATGATAAACTTGGTTCCAATGATGCAATTGGTCGATGCTTACTCGGTTGTAACGCCAATGGAGCAGAATTGAGGTATTCACTAATTAAAGTTTTCGTTAATAACGAGCGGATCATAAATAGAAATTCCAATAAAAACAATTTACTTGTTTACAACCGTTCACTCAGTTTGCTATTTAGTTGAATGAGAAGAATATTCCACGTAATCTATGGATACGATTGAATTAACATTTTGTGAAAAACATCAAATTTTCATTGACTCAGATGACATTTCTAAATGTTCATGTTTCCTTTCTTCAGACATTGGATGGATATGCTGGCATCTCCACGTCGTCCTATTGCTCAATGGCATACACTACAGCCAGTAGAAGAAGAAGGCGAAAAAGATAAGGAGAAGAAATAAGTGAATCGAAATAAACTTCGAAAGCTTATTGATTACGCGAGTGGTGAACTCATAAACTTTTTTCTTTCCTTGAAGTAGGCAGTAGTTGAAAGAATGTGTTCGAACGAACTCATTCCTCATCTAAAATTAGCTCTTTTTCTTTTTTTTAAACATCATGTAAACAGAACAAAGACTAAAGAATTTCTATGGTGAAAATCTATTCTTCTTCTTCTTTTTTTTTTGAAATAAGTTAAGTTAATTCCAAAATCTGTACACAGCCTTATCTGTTTTCTAACTACTCTGTAACTACGTAACTGCTACACACGGGCTGGTCATACAAGCTTTCTTTGAATGATCGGTCAACTCTAATTTGCCTAGCAATCCTCATAATATCTATTATATAGAAGATATATTATACAATTGTAATACACTTTAATAATTTAAATATATCAACACATTCCTAAGATTAGCATCAGTTCGTTTCTTATCGTAAACTCTTATTTTTCTTCCGAGCTGATAACAATCTTTTTGTCACGAGAATAATCGTCACTTAGCCGACATGTGTGGTAGAAATTCTGAGCATGAAAAAATATAAATTAACATTTTATATCTTAACGTGGCTCCGAACTTTTGTAATAACTATTGGGAAAGAAGATTATTAACTAATTCGATTTTTTTGTCTCCTTCAAGTTCGATGAAAATGAAAAAAAAACAGAACAGCCGTTCAAATTACTGTTATGCCATTTATTGTATAATATATAATTATTTGCGAATATTTAAATTATTATTCCATTTTTCAAACTACACACGAGAATAAGATAAAAGGAAAACATTGTTTGGGCTGGATTCATTGAGTATTTCATTTTGATAATGTACATAACAGCTATTGAGGTCATGTGTGGATTAACCACAGCACATATACACACAAATATCGTGTTTGATTCGATTTTCCTATTTTTTATCATTTTACTTCTAGATGTGTCAAAAACACAAACTTTCATACGCTACATGTGTAAATATGTACACATAAGTTATGACTGATCATCAACGAGAAAACGAATTTTATGTTTTAAGTTATAAACCGTTCCGAAGATTAAAAAACAAAACATCTGCATTTATAGACTTTAATAACTAAATATCACACCTTTAACATCAAACAAAGAAAAATGGATTGATAAGTCCAGAAAAGCGAAATTGATTAAATAATATATATAGATTTAGAGTTAAAGCTATGAAACCTTTTCGAAAGTATCACAGCTCAAACTAATCCATTTAACATAAAAGCATACCGGTTATAACAAGAAAAACGGATCTATTTGTATAATCTTAGCCGTATAGGCACACTTGGTATATTCACATCATATGCTACATAACGTGAAAAATGAGCGATCAAGAATTTGAAAACCGCTTTAAAACTTCGGTTAGTACGAATGACCAAATCGAGCAGTGAGAGCAAGCTTTCTAAATGACAACAACGTTTGCAATTTAAGTTAAATTTGAAATTTAGATTTTTGCACATTACACGACCCAAGGCACTGGGTATACCTGAGAGATGACGAGGTTAATATATACAGAGTATCTCGAACCACCCAAAAACATATGAAGATGAGGAGAGAAGAAAGACGGGACCAAAGTAAAATCTCAAAATATTAGTCAACGCATTTACAGAGTAGAAAAAATGGAAAAAAAAAGGAAAAAGAGAAAGAAAAATGAGAGTTCCACATAGATGGAAAGGTTTTGTTAAGATATGACAACACAGAAAAAGCCGGGGGAATCTATCAAATTATGGCAAGAAGAACAACTATTTTAAAACTCTATTACTGCTGGTGACGCATAGCAGCTGGCAGCTGGTAGCCTCCTTCTTGTTGGAGACGTCTCATCATATCAGAGTTTGTAAGAGGAGATGGTTGGGGCATGTTCATTCCTGGATGCATGCCTGCACCTGGGAATTGATTCACTGGCATGGCATTCGATAGCATTTGATGCTGCATCAACTGTTGCACCATTTGTGGTGTAATAAGCTGCATTTCAGGAGGCATTAAATTTCCACCCATTGGTCCATTCTGTTGTTGAAACTGAAACCGAAAGTAAAAATAATAGAAACGAAGTTATTTTGTAGAGGAATACTACTCATAAATTCTCAAGACTTACATGTTGCGCCATTTGCTGTTGAGCTAATAGTTCCATTTGAAGCCTCATATCGTTGTTCTGAGCTCCAGACGCAGCCACAGCAGCTAAGAAAGGCATAGGAGCTGCCATTCTTTGATCCATGAAAGGAGGCATTACATTCATTCGAGTAGCAGCTTCTCTTTGCAATAGAAATTGTTGACGTTGCATCTCTAATTTTATCATCTTAAACAAATTAATAGAAAACTGATATTATGATGTATCTCACGTTTTGCTCGAGCATCTGCTGTTGGGCTTGCGCAGCCTGTGCTTGAGCAGCTTGGGCCTGAGCCTGGGCTTGAGCTTGAGCTTGAGCTTGCATTAAAAATGCTGCCATCAAATTTGTAGGGTCCATAGCATATCCATTAACCGGTAATCGAGGAGCAGCATCAGCAACTCCATTCATTTCAGGCTATAACAGTAATTGTGAACATGTCATAAAGAGCAAAAACACACCTTCTTAATTTGAGCAGCAACGGCGACGGTAGGAGGATTTCTAGCAGCTTCCTCCCTCTTTCTCCTTGCTTCATCATATTTGCCACCAGGCTTTAGCTTGTATATTAAATCTGTTCTTGAGCATCGATGACCGACTTTCCTCACTATATTTCGAACAAAGATAGCATTATTACTAATATACGCTTCCTGAATAAGAACTTTAAATAACTTGGAGAAAAATTATGGCGATTACCTCCTCTCCTGGCTCCCATGAATTATCTTCATCCAATTCAACAGGTTCATTGTCAGAATCTTCGTTCTTTATACTATCCGAGCTTGTGGATGGTTTAACATCCAAGCACATACTCTGTAATATATCATAAGATAAGTTCGAAAAACAAGAAATAAAAACAATGATAAGCTTTTAATACGAAACAGGGTCCACGATAAGGACTGGTAGGCAATAAAATTCAAACTATTCACCTCATTCACATTTTTGATATCTGTATCAGGACTTTCCTCTTTTATACAAGTAGCATGTGTTGGATCATCAATCGATTGAGGACTAGAACTGGCTTTTATTTCTACTTCTTTATCAGTTTCCTCTTCCTTTTCATCCATCTTAAAACAAGTTATAAGTTGAGCAGCACTGTTCAAAACTGTCTTACCTTCTTCTTCTTTGCACTTCCGTTCACTGAACTCTTTTTCCTCTTTGAATTTTTATTGAGTTTAATTTTCTCCATATCAAATTCATGAACGGATACAGCTTGGCTAGGACTTCTTCTTTCGTCTCCCATTGAAGGTGTTCTGAAAATACAAATAGAGAATAACAGATAAAAAGACAGATAAAAAGTTAAAGCTACTTCGAAAAGTAGCAGGGGAAATAGGTGATTGCCGCTGAGAATGTGAGCTGATCAATAGCAGCGCAACCTGTTCAGTGCGTCGCGATCATCCATTCATTAGTCGTAAACAAACGTCAGCGAAGGGTCAATAAAACAGCACAAAATGAAATAGTCAGAAAGACATGAATTGCTATTAGAGAAGATAAAAATTCGAACATTTTTTTTTTTGGTGACTGATACGAACATTTCCGAATAAAATAGTGTTAAAATGACCAACCTTCTTCTTCCATTCTTTCCTGCTCTAGTACGAACTCCATAGTCTTCTTCTGGATCTGTACCGGATGGACTTCGTTTGAAAAGACAAGGTGGAACAGTAGCAGGTCTTTCAACAGAACGCAGCTGGGCATATTTTTTGAAAAATATACGGCAGTCGGTACACAAAAGAAGACCATCCCTGCCAGCGTGGTGCCAATCACGACTCTCTTCAAAAGGATCAATTTATTAAAACATAGGAAAATGAAAATATACTTTCAGAATAGCAATGATGACATGCATACTGCGATCCCCTCTTTACTGTCTCGTTTTCACATTCACTCTCACTTGCAGAGGCATAATCATTCAGCTGAGGAGATGTTTGTCGTGATGCCTTAAGAAACAAAAAATAGATTTCAATTAAACAATAAATAGATGAAATTATGATCAAAGCTCACTTTAGTGCCGTTTTTAGGTTTCTTCATTGCAGCAGTTTGATTTCTCTGACGGGCCAATGCCTTGGGTTTTGTGGCTTCGTTAGTCTTCTTCCAGAGATAATAGTAAGCAACAAGCTGTTCCTATAATTCACAACGTCATATAATTCGATTTCAAATTTGAGTTGAAGTAAGCAGAATGCAACCACTCAGTGCGTCTATTAGTTAGAACCTATTCTACATGTTAGGCCAACAAGGGTCACCAGAGGGACGAGCAAGAGATTAAATGCAATTGTCTCTTCCCGCAGGACCTATTATAAAGACCAGAACAACTGGAGAATGATTAGCTTCTTTGAAACTACATAGAATTCACTTGCTCGGTTGTACAGCAAAAAAAAACATAAAAACGAAAGTTGTAACTACAACTTTTAAGGAGCAGAAATATATAATTAAATATGTAACTCACTCTATTGTGTAGTGGTAAAAGTTCTCGTCTAATACGCATGAAATTTTTTCCAAATGTCTTAATTCCTTTGCTGAATCGTTTACTATCCTCTGACGTCATGAAATTCGTATCGTCTGCTAACAGCTTATCATTTGCATTCATTTCTAATAAAGCGGCATCGAATTTATAGCCACAGCGATGCAAAGTAGCCAATGAGTCATCAAACAACAAATCCGTCACCTGAAACATGTCAATAGAGGACCATTACATATAAAAGTTGATAAAATATTAAGAGTATTACTGACCCTAGCAGCTTTTTCGACAGAATTTAATTTACTATCGACCATTGAAAATATTCTAAAAGTTCGCGCCATATGGACATAATTCATCTCGGTGGCCTGGCTAATTTGATTAGGCCGATAAATAAGCTCATCACGATCAGCTTCATCACCAACACTAGTAGTCGCTTCAGGAGGCAACACAGCCTGGAAAAAATTGAAATGAGTTACAAAAAAAACATTTGACAGCATGGAGGTAGGTGCATAGAGAGCGGAATAGTTCTTAAGATAAATAAAATTGAGCTCTTTGTGATGAGCAATTTATAGATTCTCTTAGTTGACTAAACAAGAAAAGATAATATAGTGCACTTTAATTGTGTTTGTAATTTGATAGTTCAAAGCTTTCGGCACTGCTCTCATGCTTCTATTGACAACAATCAAAGAGATCATATGAAGAAGCTTCAAGATGCTGAACACTCTTTTCAAGTCTAATCTTGAAATAACGTAAGCACGTTTTGAACAATAAAAAGAGCGCGCTGAACACAATGGCTGGAATATGGGTCGACATTTGGTTGTAAACTAGCGTAGTGAAAAAAAATGAAAACGTAAGATATTATCTTTTTTGGAATAGCAAGGAAAATTGATGACACTATCTGGTATCGAGAATATATAAAAAATTCATGTCTGGCAACCAACAGAGTGCCAGCTGCCCTTTTGAGTCAGTTCCAAGGATCTGACAGCAAGCCGATGAATAGGAGGCTAGGAATGACAGGGTATTCATCTCGGCATTGAACGAGACACCTGTTCAGAAAAGGCTAGTCGAGTAGACATTAAGATGATTCTAACTCATTGTATCACAACATTGACTGCAATTATCACTCGGCAAAACGTAAAGCAAGTAAGAAACCCGCATTACTTCGAACAATAGGTCAGCTAATTAAACATGAGAATCTCTAGTTATCTATATAGGAAAACGAACTATCGCATTATTGTCACCAAACACTGGGTCATAGCCCTTTGCTGCTAAACAAATATTTACATTTTGCAATACACATCGAGAGAAATCACAAGCTATTATTCCAGTTCGTTCATGCAGTAATGCTACCTGGATAGCTAAATTGAACCAAATAGTTTGCAAAATATTTTAAGTGTAAAGGACGTTATTAATGATAGCTCTAGCATACAAACACTTCTATAATCGATCATTAAGCTCTCAATTACATCTTTCTTGTAACTATACTATGGTTTGTCTGTCCCATTAAAACAGATGAGGACCACTCTCTTTCACATGACAACAATGCAAGAAAGGCTGGAATAGTCTACCGATAAATCGATGACCGAAGCGAAAGAGGAAACACGGCGGTTTCTAATGTCGAAAACACGTGATCAAGGCTGAATGTGATGGAATGATGCCAATTTTCAAAATTGAACATGGTCAGAAAAAATCCCGTTTCGCAACGAATAATTTAAATTATCAAGACTATTAATGACTTATGAAATGACACTTATTGCGAAGTATACAATTTCAGGATATGATTCAAAAGACGAATGACTAGCTTATTTCAATCCGTCAAGGGTACACTTTTCTTCGAAGACTCCAAAGAGAATCAAAAGTTTAGGAAGAAAATAATAAGAAGAGGATAACGAGAAAAAAAAAGAAAAGAAAGGATTGAAAACGTAATATGTATACCAACCTGATAAGAAGAGCCTACACGTATTTCTCCTTGAACGGAAGCCAGTCTGGCCGATTCTTGATTATATGCCAAACAGGTAAAAAATGAATTTTCCTTAACAAGATCACAGCTTGAGATACTGCGAAAATCCTTGACAAAGTTAACTTCGCACTTTCCTCTGAAAAAAGTTGAAATTAAGCAAACATATGACAAGAATACAAAGACTAAGAAAATGGCTATCGTAAACAGGATTGAGTGCGGATGTTTGTGGAGGGCAGAGAGCGAAGGATTATAAGTATTTCTGGGAGTATGCTGATCGATATTTTAAAGCGCGACATGGATGAAAAATGTATGAAGAGAAGAATATTTGTTGCAATGTAAGCATTAGAACGACTTCCTTTAAACGAAAGAAATTGGTTTGTTTCAAACTGATAATGAGGAAAGTGGGAATAGACAAAAAAAGAAATACATTGAAACTTCTAAAAAAAATCAAAAATAGCATTGAATGAAAAAAATAAAACTACTAAAATATGAAAAGACGCGGTATTTCGGAAATACATTTTGCAAAGACTATTAATAAAAAAGAGTCGAGTATCATTTCAATTTCCGAAAAAAATAAACGAGAAAGTATTTAAATCAGAAAAAAACAAAAAGAAACAATAATAACAACGACTAAACCATGGATAAATATAAAGACTTTTTTATATTGTCACGGGTCAGAGGTTGAAATATCTGCTGAGGGTGCAGCAACACGGGGAGCGGCTGGCATCGTGACTGGGAAGGCGATCAATATAGAAGAGAGAACACAACTCGCCACCACCACCGCCACCACAGAAGCTCCGCCCATTGGACACGGAATTGCTTGCTCATCGAGAATGAAGAACGAAATTTAAAGACTCAGTGCACTAAGCCAGCATGTCAAGAAATGTATATTGTCTAATGACCGCTTTAGCTATATTGTTATTTTTTTTCGAAAGTTGGGTTTATGATTGAGACGTTAAACAGTCAACCAAACCGAAAAGGAAAACGCCATTTCAATTTTCCAAACACATTTCAAGATAAAAATCACATGATCGTGTTTCCTTCCTCTATGATCAATCTATCATAGCGGCACTTTAAAAAGATTCCGCAAAGAATAGTGAGCGCGTTTTCATAAATATTAGCATTAACAACTATAAGAACATATGCTGAGACAAATGTGAACACATTAATACAGGATATACGCTGGCATTTTAGTAAAGAGAATTTCGCATATAGTAGAAGAACACCAAAGAGTGAAGCATGTGTAAGATTTAGACAATGTAAACATTAGGTTTAGCGATATCATTTAGAAGATATGAGCGAAATCAGAAAGTAAAAGAAACTACTTGTATATAAAAATGATAACGAATACATACACATTAGATAATCAGAAAGAATACTGACTCAATGTAGATAAGAAGTTTAGAGCTTTTCGGAAATAAGTAACTTATCTGTCCTCTACTTTATTTGACTATGGTCAACTGGGAGTTCCTTCGATAAGACATAATGTAATCCCCTAGAGAACATAATTCATCGGATCTATACTAAGATTGTCGGAGGGGGCATCAAAAATCAAAATTAAAACTGAGCCAACTCGCCTCACATGTGGGCAAGGCGAAATTGTCACAAGGCTACGTACCTTTTAATAGAGGACATATGTGACTCGATCAAGGGTGAAGAGACAACTAGGCGAGATACATAAGAGAGAGGAAGTATGACAGAAAAAAGAAGAAATAGAAAAGAGGTAATTTCATTGTAATTGGTCTGCATGAGGTCTAACGGCCCAAAATAAAAAAAATGCGCCGCCTGGTAGTCAACTCACTTCACAATATGAAAGAGGCGTACGCTTCAACTGGGAAAAAAAGAAATACACAAATATATAGTAAAAACATTTCAGATTGTAGCATGTTTTTTATTAACTTTTTCTCTCTCCTCAAGGCTAGTATTATTATCTTTCATAAATCGTTCACTTGCAGATGGCAACAAAGATTAGTTCACAAATATGAACTTATAATCTCATGAACTTATTTAATTTAATAAAAAACACACAATGTTTATTTAACAAAGTGTTTATGATTGCGTATAGTCAGCGGTCATCACAAAAGAAACGTCTAGTGACACAGCAGCAGTCGAGTGTTCCATTCGAGATGAGGGGTCACATCTTCGCACAAGGATAGCAACTAACAGACGCGGCAAATCCGATCACCACCCCAAACCAATCTTTCTTGTGTCGACATCTGTTCATTAAAAGCACGGAAATCGATTCATTCATTGAAGTGTTAGATTAAGTAGATTTAATATGCACTTCTCAAATAAGGTGTCGATAAATTCCAAAAGCTTCTTTTTTCGCTAGCAACTTTCTCTAATAATCTAAGTCAGAACGAAATTTCATGGAACTCAATTACTGACCAAGCGCATCTCAGAAATAAGATTATCTACATTCCCTCCCAAAACGAGAAAGACAACTTGCCCTAAACGCAAGAATTAGCTTTTTTGTTTAGTTCCAAAAGAAAATTAAAGCTTGAAACCGCGACTGCATAGGGAGAGGAGTCAAATAACAAAAGAAAACAAAACAATAGCCTATATGCTCCGATAAGGATGGCATGCAGTTCTCAATTACATAAGAAAATTGTCAAAGTTTCATAGGTGTCTCGGTATAAATAGTTGACCTTCAATACACATCCATAAGAAGGTCAGTACCAATATACACTCCATTCACACAACTGAGCAAGATTATTACAACTAAATACATATCCATATCAGTTATGCCCGTTACTTCTTCTTACTTAAGAGGTTAGAAGAACTTTTTTTTTGGAAAATCATGTTCTAGATGATGAATGAATGTGAAAAACCTGACTGGTTGTCCAGACTTCGGAAATCACACTTCACGCATAAACATACTTTGTGCGTGTCATTTATAGTCCCACAAAATATAATCGCGTCAAGGACATGCTATGGAAAAAGAGGGCCGTACAAGCACTAGTTGGCAAAAAATGACAGCAGGCGGCAGAGGGAGAGAAAATGAAAAAGCGAAATTAATAATCACAAAGATGAAAGTAGAACATAAAACCCAAGAAAAACGCATGAAAAATAAATGTAACAATGGAAAAAAAAGAAAAGAAAAATTAGACGTACCTTAATAACGAAATTGGATAAAATTGAGAAGATTCAGAAGTAAAAAGCTCTCTAGGATGTGTATCAACAATCGGCTCATCCTCAGGAGACAATTCACTTCTCTCTTGCAATATTAAGCTCAGAGATATTTCAGGCACATCGTCAGGCCGGAAAAACCGAGTTATTTTCACCGACAATGAATCCCGTTTTGACTGAAAACAAAATGAATTAGAAACGAAGTTTTGATTTCAATGCTAGCATGGACTAGTGTTTTTAATCAGTTGCATTTACAATTACATCAAATAACTAACATAAATCACATAAGCAAGTACATGCATATTTTTTGGCAGTCCTAGTCCCTTTCATAACGTCTTCCAACGTTTCATAGTTTCGCTATTTCATTAAGAACGGTGGAAGGAAGAGAGAACAAGATCTGGTTTTAAGGCTTGCGGCTGCTGTATTGCGCCCACAGAGCCTTCTTATTCTTCTTCTTCCTCTTTAATTGTTATGTTATGTCTAATGAAATCATTCTTAAAGAAAGCGAACATAACATTCTGACACGTCGTTTTCTAACCACTGATAAGAAAAGATATAGATATATATCACACCGTTTGAATTTGAAAGTATTCTGATACCAGATAATGAGGCATTTCAAGAAAACATCAAAAGAGCAAGTGATAGGAAGATATTACAATGTGTTCAATTGCTTTCAACAAGAATGTCATTGTTTCCAATAATTCACCGCACCTTTCCAAAAAAAATTGCTTCATATTCTTCTTACACAAATACGTACAGTGAGCGAAGAGAGCGAGTTGTCTCAGCTATTGATCACTCAAGATCAAACTTTCTTTTCAAATTTCAAAACATTGGTACCGCAAAACTGTAACCTTGGTGGAGACACCTCATTGAGTAGATTATCGGACATATATCTGACCAATTCATAGCCAGAGTGTACATGAACGATGACTGAACGATATGCCGCCATATTTTAATAACTCAGTCTGACTATACATACACCACAAAGAAGCTGACGAGGCAAACTTTATGTACTCCTATCAGCAATTACAGTTTGCAAAGCCTCGTAGCAACCAAAATCAAATGAGCCCTCTAAGTGAGCTTTCTCCTTTCGCAGTTGCTTTGGTCCCTTTTTCCTAACCATACACACTCCTAATGTCAACATTCATTATTTGCCGACTCGCGCATAGCCAGACACACTTACAAGGCAAAAAGTTACCAAATTCTAGACTTTTATGAATGAAGAAGTTATATGAAAACAGTTGATTTCATCCGTAGGGAATATACACCATAGTTATGTGTTCGTAAAATCACTAGCAAAGATAATTGCACTTTGACTGTTTTCAGTTGATAAAGAACGTTCAACAAGAAGCAAAGCTTTTAAGTTATATTCATGATATACCTTGATAGCTTCTTATTTAGCATTGTTTATGCGAAATTCAATACTTCGAACAGGAAAACTAACAGATATCCCATATCATGTTTCGGGAAAGTAGGTTGGAAATTATTAAATAACTACTTGATAGAGTCTACTTCCTGAATGATAATTTTCTGAGAAAGAACTAATCAAGATGAAAACTTGCAGTGATAGAAACCTTTGTGATCTCTAATCTCGAAAAACAGAACAATTGCCGCAAAATACATCATGATACCCACCAGCCTACTAGCGTCAGAGCTATTAAAGTGACCTTTATAGAAGGTTCTATTCGTTCTGGCTCGTTAAATACATTCATGCCCATCACTCACTCTTACATCCCTTCATAATGGTTATTTATTATATAAGAAAGCAACACTTCTCATTAGAAGGAGCGACTCTCATTTGACAGATAAAACACGTTCGATTAGAAAGTAAAAACACTAAAAAATAGTGTTGTTCAGACATAACAATGAACGTAAATCGTTATATATCCCAACATTTAACTCTTTCAAACATGAAAAAGCTTCCCCTTTTTTAAAACCTGTGTGCTAACAAGAACGGGTAAGCCAGATAATAAGCAATCTGATGACAATATCAGTTTTGAAATTGAAACCACCACTTTTTAATAATCTGGGCAGAAGTAAGATAAAAAGAGAAAATCAGGAAGAAAAGAACTCGTGTTTACTTTTATCCCGAGTTATTATGATCGGTGTTTAGGCATATTTTTAGAACGAATTTGTTACATCACCTCGTTCATGCACTCTGAGACAGTTAGATTAAACATTTTCCCAGATCATTTGAAATTAAAGTGTAAGCCTAGCTCTTCTGCAGAGTCGTGAAGCTCTCCACTGAAGAAATATAGTAGACTAAACCAAAATTGAAAGGATTACAAATGCGAACTCGGTGGCTTAGCGAAACTTGTTCGAAACGTCGCTTTCTATCCAATGTTATTAATAGAGAATGCGAAACGTCCCGAAATACGAAATCAAACTAATTTCTTCGTTCGATCCCAGCCAGAGTACAGAAATGAATTACTATCTGATACAACCTGGGAACGAATTAAGGAAATTGGGAAACCAATATTGGAAAACAAACGTTTCCCCTAGACTAAAACATCTGATTGTTGAACCAACGCAGATATAAAGCGAATAGCTCTGTTGCAGAGTTAACGATAAGTCAATCTGATAACAGAAAATAAATAATAGACCGATACGGTGAAAGAAGTCTCGAACTGACAGATACAAATCAGTACACAATGATGGTAATAGAAAATAACAATGAACAAACTAACCATTTTAAAAAGAGCGATAGTTCCGACTATGTAAGGATCAATAGCTCCAGATTCTATATATACATGTTCACCAGGACGATAGACTACACCGTCATAATCTTCAAAGCAACGTAAGTCACCTTCCACTCTATTGCGATAAGCCTGGAATCAAATGATTGTGACACAAACATACATCTGAATCTTACTTTTCCTCGTTTTGCTTTATCCGGTTTACCCGGATGATAGTAGTACAAGGGTTCAACTTCCCACATACCCGATTGAGTGCATTCATCAGGAGAAAGACTGTTGTCGCCCTCCTCGGTCATTTCTTAAACGTAAAACATGAGATATCTTAAGTAGTAAAACGAAATAGTAAAGAAACAGCAGAAAACCGAACAATAATACATCTAACAATTTCCGGTTTTAACTTCAATACGAAAAACAATGTGCGCTAGCGAGAACATCAACTGGACGTTGACAACTTTAACTTGTTGACTCATAAAAAGCAAAAAACCATATACAACATTAAATCCCATTAAAAATTCCAAGATAGTCGAGAGTATAAAATAAAGGATAAAGAAAATGGACGATATTCTAGCGTCGGCACTTGTCCACTCAAAGGTCATATCAGCCCGCGGACAATGCAACTAGTGGGATGGCCAACAGGGAACCCGCCTATCCCAGTTTAAATCTTTTACATGAATCAAGGTATTATACACATCCGAGAAAACGTGTGAAATAATTAAAAGCATAATCTTCTAGAGGACGCGGGGTATATTTGGATAATAAAATCATTGGATATAACAGAGCGATTCGAAAGAAGCAGATATCCTGCACAAACAACGAAAAATTGAATACACCGGAAAACACAGAATAGCTATTAGTTAGAGCATGAAAATCGTTAAGGAACTATACGCAACTCGAACGGTAAAAATGCAAATAAAGAGAGAAATAGTGAGCAAGTTATTATCAATATTCTAAGACCAACGAAAAGCGCTCGTTAATAAAGTTTCTTTAGAACGAATCGCTATCATCATGTTTGAAAACATCATCCATTTGCGATTAGTATCAATGATGATATGTTAAACTACTTTGAAGAAGTAAACTATATGTTTGCCATTACAAATCTTACAAACTGGCCTTGCGAACTATTCAAAATGAGGGCAATTAGTCGTAGTCAGTATTTCTTAAGTTATTTTTGTAAGAACAATCGAACAGCGCCATCAGAATTCAATTTTAAAAGAAACACAGGCACATACATACACAGTGAATTTCAGGGACAACAGGACACTGAGGAAAACCATATGAGATAGCAGACGTAAAAAGAGAAAGGGAAGGCGGTGACGACCAGCGGCGGCCAATTCTAGAGAACGCCTCCATTATAGAGAGAACAGAGAGAAGTGACTGGAGACTAGCAAATACACCGGTAAAAAACGAGGACACCACTAAACTTTTTTTTTCGATTCTATTGCTTGAATATAAAGCCAGATAATTCAAATGACACCTAATTATGGAAAGATTATGCGCTAGAACCGTTAGATGGCCGAAAGGTCCTAGTAACCTCCAAGTTGCAATAAACATCAGGACTACTACTGCGTTCGAAGCTCCGGGGAAAAACCACACGAGAATTTGAAAAGCCAACACACGAGGAAAGAGAGTGGGTGAAAGAAAAAAACGAAACGAACAACATGTCTTAACCATGGGAACAAATGAAATGAAGATAAAAAGCTGAGAAAACTTTACAACTGCTAACCGTCTTCGAAGGATACTCACATTGCGCAAGGAAGAATGATTAGGGTCAACAGCCTATCCCCACCAATGCATAACAGATTATATACATTGTGAATGAGTAGAAACAACAAAAAAGAAGTTCACTAATGACTTCCGTCCTATTGGGTATGAACAGTCGGAACATTATGAATGCTTGTTGCTGAGTAATGCTTTTTGACTCGAAAGTTTTCTAATCGCCTCAATTCGGTTACATGGAGAAAAAATGAAACAGAAAACGATCTATACATTTCAAGTTAATTCTTACATAATGCCAACAACATTAGTGACACATGCGTGATAGGCAGTAACAATCAACAGAACAAAAACATGTAAGCAAAGTAATAGCAAAGACAAATGTGCTCATATTCAGTCTAATAGCAAGTGTTTCAGATGGTTCTAGGCGCGAATAGTAGTGCCCATCAAGAGGACATATGGCCGTTTGTGGACACAAGTGGATTGCGGACAGAACTATGTCCATTTTCACCTATAGGATCCCGTAGTCAAACTCTTCATTTTAAGAAAATGGCGGGCATCATTTTCAACTTAACATTAGAGAAATGAAGAATATGATGAGAGCCTATGTATTTAGTTCTTTTCTGCGCATACGCGTGATGTACGTGAGTAAACACGCCAATCTTTTATCTCAATAGCCTTTAACCTTCAGCAAAATAAAATGTAGAAAGAATATTAAAAAGGTATTGATCAAGTAAGTAATCGTTATCAATCGGAAATAAGTTGAAAAAGTTTAAGTAATGATGACGGAGGCAGAAGATGAAGGATTAGATTTATAATGACTAGATTACGAGATAATAGCATTAGATGCGCGGATGAGCGTGTTTGGGAAGTGAACTGACAGGTCATAACATCAACCACAGCGCGCAAAATATGTGCCAACAGCAAACTACCTACAATCTTATAACAGAAGCTAGGTGCTATTCTTTTCCTCCCTCTTTTGAACTCGTATGTTCATAATTTTTGTGTAATGGACAATACTTGAATTTATTTGTCATTATGTCAAGCAAATTTATCTCCAGGACATATGAGAGAAAACGTATTCAAGATATGAACAATTTTCGAGCTCGTCCGTCTAGGGAGACTGAGGTCATACGAAGAGTTCATCGAAGTAACAGCAGGTTGTCTGAAACTGTAAGAACTCGTCTTTCAATCCAGTGTTTTGTCATGAATTCTATCATCGATCAGCTGATTGGGTAACGCGGACAAAATCACCTAGACTTGGAAAAGTCAACTGCAACATTATCGATGACCATTACAACGATCTCAGCAATCACGGGTGTGATAGAGAAATAGAACAATGAGAGAAACAAAGTAGACGGAAACCTACTGGAATTTATCGCCAATTATGAGAGACTAAGAAGATAAAAAAAACAAAATATGTTAGAGGTGAGAAACGATGCGTAGTGTATTAGATCGTGAAACAGATGTTGAAATTGGCATGAGATAGTGCTGACCGAGAGCACAAAGGCGAGTAGCCAGTTGCGATGCTAATTAAGGCATCGAACGATTAGATCGAGTAATGCGCTGGGTCGCGATTATGGGACAGACGACTAAGAACGCGATAAAGAGCCAACAGCTGTCTAACTTAGCTACTTGATCCCAAGAAAAACCGGAGAACTACAAACAACATACCTCAATGAGATTCAAGAAATAGAAATAAAGGAATGAAGCAAGTGCTAGTTGAATGTGAAGATAGAACAGGAAGAAAGTAAGATTATAAGATTGCAAAAGAACAAAAAGAGATAAAAAAAAGACTTTAAACCTGAACGAAGCTACCGCTCGTGTCCGACCGCTTGCCATGTTTCATTGTTATTAAATGACATCAATCGGCGGGAGTCAGCATAGCGTGGGAATTCACGTTGCAATAACTTTATGCTAATTGCGCGTGAAGGAACCAAACACATTTTTGAAAAACACATTTACGCAAAGATGATGAAATTAAATCAATAAATATACTTCCCACTTTGTATGCTTAACTTTTGAAGTTCGCTGCACAAAACTTTTTTCGCAGAGGTTTTCATAAAACCAAAAACAAAGTGATAGGGTGGGAGAACAAGGAATTTTGAGATCAATCACTGGTACTATAACACGAATGCCAGATGGATCATATGGGTTGTTAATCGCAAAGGAACGAACAAATTGCACCAAAAGATCAATAAAGAGAATAGACGATCACGTCAATGAAATAAGGAAGAGATGGTAGAGATTGGAAACATAATGGGTACACCAATAATGAATTCAGCATGAAGTTCAGAAAATAACTTGTTCACAGTTCACTGATGCAAACAATAAGATGAGCGGAGGCATCAGTTCTCGTTAAGTCAACAAATGATCGGCTTCGACACTCCGCCAACTATCGTAAACATTCAAAAGCCCATTTGTCGCAAAGTCCTTGTAGGGACTACTAGAAGTAAATGAACTCTTTCGCTTTGTAGCGCTATCTCGTTTCTTTTTCATAATGAACACATTGATTTAGAGAGCACTAAAATAAAAAAAAAGGAAGATCGCAGCTTAAACATTGACCAAGGCTAAGGGTGAAGACATATGCTAGGATGACGAGGAAGCAATGAACTAACAAAGGTTTAACTTTGTCTTGTACTTGTTTCAGGCTTCAGAAAATCTGAAGTATGTAAATGAAATCTATAACTAGACACGGATCACCCGGTTTGGCACAACACATGAGAAAGCGTTCTTATCAGTCGAGTAAATCGCAACGAGATTCAACTTACAACGATTTCTAATCTTATCAGTCTTGTCCGAAATCTTGAACAGATTTCAGGCAAGTTACTAAATCAACGTTTGTCAAAATATATCGTAACACCGAAATAAAAGGTAATTTTAAAACGACTACAAGTAATTGAAGAAGAATGACCTTCGAGAGACAGCAGAGTGTTGAGTCGAAAGGCATAGACAGACAGAGACAGAAAGAAAAGAGAGAGTTGTACGACGCTGGAACGCACATTCAATTGTGTCGGTGAAGGGATGGGCGGGGCGATGTTATGCATGTGCACTCAACTCGGCATGAATATCCAAAAATGGCGAAGAAGGGAAAACAGCTACCACTGAGATGAGGAAACGAGATAGCAACAACAACAGCCGTAGTGGGCCTATAATTTTCACCGATTAACACCAAAAGATAATTAGCAGTGATCAAAAAGTTGCTAAACTGATGAAATAACAGCTTTAAGAGTGTGGGAGGCTGATATCGGTTTCTCATAAGGACGATGACAAATCATCCATAAACCAATTTGCTACGGCAAATAGAACAACAGCTGTCATTTGGAATGAGTACATCTTAATTTTTTTCGTTTTCAAAAACATTCAAGGAAACAATAAGAAAAAGATATGAAACAGAAAAAAGTTGAGAGGTAGACAAATCAAAAGACGGGAGGAAGAGAGTTGGCGAAGGAAAGACAAAGACATTTATGAGTATCATGGGAATGGTTATCATAAAATATTCACATAATATAAACGAATTGTATCATGAATTTGCAAGCTGGTATAGGCTGAGACAAACTGATGTATGATAAAGGTGATGTTC